ATGCTGAAAGAGTTAAAGACTTTTCATTCCCTGGGATTCCTCTTCCTCCATGGGCATCTCCCCTTTTACTTTTACAGGTGTGGTCAATCAACTTCTACATTTGGTCTACTCCTCATTGGAGGTTGATACTCACAAACTGTTCCACATTTCGTCCCATCAGATTCATCACCTCACTCACTTCCAACAACTGCTTTCATCACTCATTATCTTCACCATCTGGTTATTTCCTTTGATGAAAGTTACCACCTGCCTTTATTTGCCATTCTACAGTCTACCCACCATCTATAGACAGGTGAGTGCATCTTTATTTTTCTACAGCCTTCTTTCATTTATAGAATTCTGCCAGATGGTTGGTGGTACTAAAAATCTGCATTGAACCAGGATAACAAGAAATGCTCATACTATCCACCCTGCTCCATATATGCCCACTTTGAAATGGGGTGTAACACAAGACCACTTGAAGTATCCTCATGGTATATCTATGTATCTAACTTTTAGTCTGATCCAGATCATACCTATTCCCTGGATTATCCTAGAAAAAGCTAGCACCAGGGAGTGTTCTGCCTGCTTCCCTGACTTTCACTTGCCAGCTATGCAAAATAGGGTTTCAGGATCACCCATTGCACTGTCTCCAGTAAAATACTTTTTTTGGAGTGAAAAACTGATGGTCATCCAGGCATTTTCTTCAAGTCTACCAACCACAAATTTCTCCCCACCCCTGTTTCTCATCAAGTGAAGCACAGGAGACCCTTGTTACTTACCAGTTCCTAGATGCTGGGATGGTGGACCATGGAGAACTTTCACCTATTGGACTAGTAAGTTGGGGTGATATACAATTGAGTACCAGTACAGTGGGAAGTGGTGTCCCTTTTAGTGTTGCATATATCACCCCTTATAAACTTATAAATATCATGCTGTCTCCCATGGGTGTGCCCCTATGGAGCTCTTGCCATCAGGTGTCACCCCCCCCCCCATGGGTTTTCTTTGGGAACTTTCTGAAAGGAGTTCATCTAGTGAGATCTTTATATCGGCCCCTCCACCACTTCAGTGTAAGATTCTAGCTTAACTGTATGCAGAGGTGTGGTATTGTCTCAGATGTTAACAATTTCCTTACTTTAGAATGTATTTCTGATAGATACTCACCTTCCTCACACACATTTCCATCCATCCTCCCTGCCTTTGGTGCACCTTTGTATTTCTTGCCTCATGAAGGAATGATGTTCTCAAGTGCAAATGCTTGAGGAAGCTGTTGCACATAGAAATGTATTGCTCTCCTATTAGTGCAGTGCTTTTGCTACAGAATAATGTCGTTATGCAGTTGTGCAATTCACAAGAAATTTCATAACATTAGATGGGATTTCACTGAAGGCTTGTAGTATGCAGTTCTCTAAGCCAGACATGCAGGGAAGATAACTTAATTCTCTCGCTACATGCAGGTCAAAGTGTGCATGTCATGACATTTTAGAGTTACATTCAAATATTTAATTACACTACTCTATTGTCATGGCATGTGGATAGCCATGGCATCAAAAACATACTTAATAAACCAAAATTTATTATATGAAATTTAGGTTCTTAACTTTATAAGGAAATATTCTTTAAAAAATCTTAATTTTCCCCAGTATGAGAATTGTGACATTTGCTCTCGTAAGTATCCCCTCTTCCCTAATTTATTTACTAACCCTCCCAGAAGTATATTATTGGATGTAAATTACTTATTATGATATAGTTATTACTCAGGCAAAGTGAAATTTTATAACATTCAATCTTATTTGTTTACTGAGCCATAAACTAGAAAATGAGACCTCTTGCCACACCCACTTTTCACATCCTCTCTTTCACAAAGTGCCAGTAGTTCTTTCTAATGTTTAATACTATATTTTTTATAACCAATAGAAAGCTAAGGTTTTAATCTATCGAATGATGTATTATATTACATTGTTTTATATACAGAGAATTGTCTATTTCTCTTTCAGTTCAAATGTTATTCCTACAGGAAGCACATCAGCAACCTTAGCTGAATTTTTAATGGCTCTTATTGCATAGTTCGATAGTTAAAGGGTATTTTCTGCTTTTTACGTGCTGTTATTCTGTGTTCTTAGGTGCATTATTTAATTAAATTAAAAATTATATAGTGTAGTAGTACCATTAGTTTAAAAGAGTAAGGTTAAGTTTCATCAACAGTTGACAGCCAAAAAAAAAAAGACTCCGGTAATTATTATATATCTTGATTTTCATGTGTATTCTTTATTTATTATTCTAAAAGTAACAAATTTAAAAATTAGAAACTTGTTAGGTTAGATTAGGTAAGATAAAAAAACTAATAATTCTTTGTGAAGTACACTCACAAGTAGCTTGTTCATTACATAATTCGATAAGGTAAGTGAGCTACACATTAAGCGAATGATTTACAACTTGTTTGGTGGGATTATTAGTTAGACCCAGTTCAAACTGTAATAAAACAATAAACTTAAATAGAAACTGATATATATATAGTTACTAGCTTTAAGTTTCCTCCTGCATTTTGAAATCATTCTAGAAGATAAAAAAGGTAATTTAGAATTATTTGTACTTACAGTGATTATGAGATCGGTCAATTATTTGACTGATCCTGTATATGTGTAAGGTTTAGAAAATAACATAAGATATGAAGTTTTACTGAAAAAAAAATTTGAAATTTCTGTAGAGGGTATTAGAGATTACATAAATGAAATTTGACAATGTTTAGATGAAGAAAAGTATTTCTAATCTCAACAACATGAAAATAACTTTTCACTCAGAGCAGTCAACACTTTGACTCCATATATTCACGAAGAAATTTTTAGTTACAACAATTTATTAAAAATTCTGATTTTATCAACAAAAGTCTTGTAATGTTTACTGGAAGCTTTCAAAATTTTGTGAAGATACACAAAACATAGTAAAAGTTGTAGTATGGAAACCATGAGTTGATAATGATGCATAATGTGGTATAGCCTGTATTTTGGTGTTGCATTTTATTTGTGATGTGATAGTATCAAAATGTGTGTCACAAGCAGCTGAAAGTTTGGGTCATACTGAATTTAAACAATCTCATTTAAAAGGTTCTTTTGTATATGACAGCAAGTGGTTTGTATACTGTTGTTTAGTAACAGAAACTGTTTCACATTCAAAATATCCCCATTTTGTTTTGTTTTTTATGGCCAAATGAGGTGGCATGAAAAACTTTATAATTTTGAGATTACATTATGTTTATAATGGCAGTTAAGCTTGTTATTACAGAGGCTTTGTTCCAGCTAGCACAAGCTGATAGTGTTGTTAACTGGGTGGCATAATACTCATGACAGAAGCTGTCTCTCATACAAGTTGCCTTCTGTATATGGTAATGTGTAATCCTTAGTAAAATAAAAGCTACGTTAATGAATTCCTCTTTTTATATATAAGAAGTGAATCAGTTGGACAGAAGTATTTATACAATCATAAAAGTTACCTAAAACTAACATTCATCAAAAATAGTGTAGTCTTGATCATGCGGTGATAATAAAAAATTAATTTGCATTACTAACACAATATATTCTTGTAATGCTTCTCAGTAACTCAGTTTTGGAAGAGTATCATTTATATTCAGTGCATTATATTTTGACAACTTTAGCATTTTCTTTAATTAATACCATCCCTCACCCCTGGTGGTTCAACAATAAGTCTGGTGGCTTATATCTTAAAAAATCAGGTTTCAGTACCCATGATGGACACAGCACAGATTGTTCATCATATGTATCTTTCTACCTAACAATAAACAAACATCACTGAAAACCAGTATACTAAAATTGGATTTGACAGTAGTTGAACTTAATTTTAGTTGTATTGCATTGTAGTGGTAAAATTTTTGTCACATAGTACTGAATTCCTAAATCAATAGCAGTCACTAACTTTATCTAGCATAGTGCATTCTGATCATGGTCATAAGTTTTCAACAAACCGTGATGAATCACAAACAGGTGAGTTTGTTTCGAAAGTACTTCATCAAATTGCTGAAACAAATAATCACAATGAAATAATTAGCACAAAGGATCAGAAAAAAAAGTAAAGTAGATTACAGAAGACACATAAACATTTATTACCCCATCCTTTTTAAACTTTACCCTTTTTACGCATAAAGAAGATTAGTTTATTATTTGACAGGGTACAAATTTCTTGTTCTTTTGAAATCCATTTTAAAACGTAATATTTGTCATAAAGTGATCAATTCAAAGATGGTGAGACAGTGTGTGTGTGAGTGGGAAATTTGTATCTGTATTTATTTATAAGAATAACTTGTGTGTTTTTTGAATCTTTAAAGTTAGAAATATTAAGATTTGTTAAAAGAACTCTTTTGTAAGGTGTTTTAATGACAGGTGATAACTGTTTATTTATATTTCTTGGTGTAATGTTCATGTAGTTTAATCTATTTCCAGTTTTTTTCTAATGACTAGAATTGTGCATTAATTCAGCTTTGTGCCTTTATTCCAGAAAATTATTTCTGTAATGGCAAATATTTAGTTTTGTCAAATCTAATGGTGCTTAGTAGAAACTAAATGAGTGCAATTTATGGTCTAAGTGTACAGTATAATTACAGGGATTTTGATACTGCAATGCAATCAAGTTTTCTCTAGTTTTTAATAAATTGTACATGTAATAAATATTTTTAGCTCAGAGCCTAAACAGTGGCATTTAGACCAGTTATGTTGGAGGATTTGTATGGGATACAGTAGGATGAGTTCATGGCTTAGCACCTTATTGTGTGATACCAGAAAGTGTTTTTTGATACTAGATCCCAAACATTTCATATCACATAAGTCACTAGGATAACTTTAAGATTTATATCACTGAGTAATAATGTTTAACATACACTTCTTTTGAAGTAAAACATTTTGCCAGACACACACACACACTCGCTCTAAACATATTTTGGTATCATTCTGTCAAGTGTAAAATAGTGGTCTTCAACATGAAAAGTATTTGTTTGTTCTCTTTCTCTTCAGTTTCTTGAATAACAAGCAAAGCTTCACATACAAGTATTTTCTCCAGAGAGTTAAAGAACTTACTCAAGCCAAGAAGAGGGCTGAAGCTAGTGGAAGTATTAAAACAGAAGGAAAATCCAGATCAGGTATGTTTTTTTTTGTTTTTTTTTGTCTAGATTCAAAATTTAATTAAACTACATTATCATCATTATATTTAATAAATATTGCATAAAAATGTAGTTTACAGTTCATATCTAAATTTTCAATCTTCACTTCTCTGTAGCACATGGCACTTCTTCACTCCAAATTTTCCATAGTGGGTATTCTTTCCACTTGTATTTGAGCTTTAATATAAATTAAACAATTATGATGTAGATATTGACAAGCCGTAATATCAATTTATAGCCTCCAATCTTTTTGCTTTACTGAAATATAAATCTGAAAGTTAAACCCACATATAACACTCTCTTATCACATCCTGTCTGTCAATAATTCTGTTTGACATTTGCTCTTGGATTATTTATACCCAATAGAAAGAGAAGATTTTAATTTACTGAATTCCTTATAAAATTAGTTTGTTCCAACAACAGGTTTTGAATTATTCTGCCTACAGTTTCATTCTTTGCAATCAGAGTCACCTTGATAAGCCTTTTTAAATTTCATATTATTTTCGCAATGTGTTAAAATATACACCTGGAAAAAAGTTAAGCACCCCCGTGTTTTTTCAAGTGATTCAGATTCG